ACTTTCAATATATTCTGACAGTAGAACATGAAACAATCTGTGAAAAAACCGGTTCCTCTGGCTCCTCCTAGTGCTCCTAATGGCGTTTGCAAGAATCCACCGGGCCTGAACGAAAATGACTAGAACGTAGACCTAAAAAAACCTAGAGCGTAGAAAGATAGTTGATTGTTGAGTCTCATTCCTAGGTGTTCAAATGTCGAAGCTTTGGGTTGGTGGCTCAACGGAGCAAGAGGAACCTAATTCATTTCACTGATTATCTATATAATGTACAACTGCCAGGATATAGTGAAACTTTCGGCAAATATGTATATTTTATTTAACTCATCTACTGCAGCTTTAAGGCAGCAGTTGGCTTATTATCACCTTAAAGTTAATAAAGTTGTTGTGTCTAAATCAATTATTTCTTTAGCAGACACAGAGCAACATTAATATTAATCTGAAGTTGTGTTTGTGTCCAATATATATATTTATTCTCCCTTAAGCTATGGTCTATTGGTCTCCACCAGCTCTTGAACAAATAATCATAGCTGCTAAATGCTCCACTATGTTCACCAGCTAGTCTCTCACTGTTCCTGTTTGTGCTGACAGGTTGTGTACAATAGGTTTATCAGAAACTTTTTAATTGAAAACTGCTGCTGCTGCTGCTGCTGCTGGAAACAAGGTTTATGAGAGCACTGAGTCTGAACCAAAACAAGGCATCCTTCACATTATACATAGTCACTTGACTCACTGTTTTCATGAAAATATTGATATGTGCAGCTTTAAGTTTTTTTTTGTCTGAAGGTGATTTCACACCTTTCCAACCACAACCTCCAGTGAGTGGAAAACCTTCAACTTCTTTACTGAAATGCAGATAATTATTTTTTTTCTAAAGGATGGAGTCATTCCCTGTCATTATTGCTCCACTGTAAAGATACTGAGGCTTTATTTGGATTGACAGTTGTCTCAGCCTATGACAGTCAGCCATGTTTGGTGCCACGTCCTCCTCCAAGCTCCAACTTAAATAAATCAGTATGTGCGTAAGGGTTGGCGACATGTTAAAATTTTCCTCCAGCCACCGTCAGCCCCACAAATGGCAGTGCAGATATATATGTAATATGTGCTAACTACTGTGTTTTCAATAAAAATAGCCTACACAAACACCATTCACTGTTTTATATGAGCAGCAAATAATACAGTTGCACCACTATAATACAATGTGCACCATTGGAGATCAATCAAACTGACTTTAGAATGCAGCAGACAGGATCAGTGTTTCACTCATTTTTCTACAAAGTCTTCCTGCAGCTCCCTCACAATATATTTAAATGATTTGCTATTTTAAGTAGCCAATTTATTTTCTTTTGTGCAATGCATTGTGAAAGAATAGTGGAAACATTGTTGAGCACAATAGAACACAATACCAACATTACCAGTGCAGAAGCACACCTAGTCTGGGCGCATGCTAGGATGTAGTTCCCTACAGACTGCCTAAAATGAGCACGGAGAACTGGGACACAGTAAATTACTTAACAGATTGTATGTCAATCACCATCTCTGATCAATCTTTACAGAAAATAATCCGCTTAAAATTAATCAGAATTGCTCATTTTGTACAACCTTTCTGCAGTTATTGTGTTCACTGTTTGGGTTCATTGTACAGTTTATCAGTTGTTCTCTACTGTTATTGTTATACACTGAATATAATAGGAAATATCCATAACATACGGCACTTAGTCAGGGGTTGTCAGTTTATTCAATGATAGTAGAGGAGTCCCTTAAGGAAAAAGCTTGGGAGCCGCTGGCCTATGCCACATTGTAAGGATGGGAAAGATGGGTGGAGTGAGGGAAGAGAATTTTTGGATGAAATCAAAGTTTATCAGTGTGACGTTTAACAGAGAAGCACTGACTGTCAAAAATGACTGCTATGAGAACATAGAAAAGGCTTAACGAATTTAGCTAAATATAACTCACAAGAGTGCAGGTGAAGACCTCCTGTCTGTCTTCAGACTTCATCACAGTTGTTTATTGGTGACAAGAGGTAAGGCTGACTAATTGAATTTAGGTGAAACTCTCCCCTCACTCATTGTCAACCATTCATCATCTGTACAGCTCTGGGAGCCTCTGATGCTCAGCTACTGTACATCTGTGTAGGCACAACATCTTAGCACAGCACTCAATGTTAAAAAAATCCATCCAGTGTGTGTGGATGTGACGGTGTTCATAAGCAGGAACTCTGTGTGTGTGGCGGAGCATCTCTGCCCCTTGACTCAGCACACACAGTCCTTGGGTGCGTCTGCTACTTTTGGTGGTGATAAAGAATCTCAGTAGGTGCTGATTTATGGCCACGGCACCGCTGAAATGACACCTCGCAGTCGCAGCACTGAGACACACACTGAACATCCATCACCACTGCAGGCACAGCCATCCATAAACCTCACATCACCAAATCGTTGAAAGGGAGGAGAGAGAAGCAGAGGACGGCTTTTAAAAATAAATTAGGGAAATTGTAGTGGACGGGAGTAAAAAAATATTATTTATTAAATTCCTCATTGATCCCTGAGGGAAATTATAGGCTGTGGTCAGCTAAAGAACAGTAGCCCTTGAGCCAGTCGGCATTCAGTGTTTTGCTCAAGGACACTTCAGCAGGGCAGATAGATATTTAACCTGAGCTTTATTTTTTTATTATTAATTTGAAGGACAACCTGAAGTGAAGGATGATAATGACAGAGAATGAAGAGAGAGCACAAAATATTCAGAAAAGTGAATCCTACAAAATATATTTATATATCAAGGTTTCTTTGCCAAATCCATGTTGGAGGAAACTAAATACTACTTGGATAAAGTTTACTGTCACATTTTGTGTATTGCACGGAAGTCATAGGGAGAAGGTCAAGGTTGGTGGTAGAATTTATAAAATACAAGAGTCTGAGGTTCATGTCCTGCAACTGTTGCACTGCTCTGCAAAGAAACACAGAGACAGACCCTCGTTGGCACAGATATGGTGTTTATTGTACCAGAGCGCATCAGGTAAAGCAAGAGTGAACAGCAGTGAACACATCAGTTGGTTAATGCAAATGTGTTAGCAAACATGCCTCTTTACACATCCAATAGTCACAGAGCAATTTAGGATTCATTTGAAGTAGAGTTAGTGTGATGATTGTATGTCCAGTATTCACTGCCCTTTTGGCTCTGGTCTCCAGTCTCGGTGCTGGACAGGTAGTGTACAGTGGGTTTATCAGAGCTTTAGACTAAGAACAGCTGTCTAGTGCTGCTGGAAATGAGGTTGATGAGAGTGCTGAGACTGAAGTTGCAGTCTGTAAAGCCAAAACAATGAGCTGAAAGATGCTAAACGCTCCATAGAGATGTGCAAAGTTAAAATCAGGTGATAATGCTCTGTAAGTCACTACGAGCAAGGCTTTTCACATTGCACAGTCATTTGAGCCATTGGTGATATAAAAATATTGATGAGTGCAAGTTTAAGTTCAAGACTTTATTTACCACTCAACATACCAGGGCTGGATTGTTAGTAATTTGTGTTATTAGTGTCAATGTGATTTTTCTTACTTCTGTAACAGAACCCAGAAATGTACTTTTACTTGGGCTCTGTATGTGGACATAATTTCAAGGAGCCAGGGTTGCTGGAAAGACCTGTGGCTGTTGTGGTCTGAAGTCTTGTCCGTTTCAGGGTCAGTGATCAGGGCAGTGGTAATGCATATCTCTGGCATTCTGGTAGAGAGAAAAGCTGCAGTTAGAGAGACATCATAAATTACAGAAAACACTAAATGACAGCTGCAGACTCCAGACACTTTTTACATCTGCCTGGGATTATGTGAGGTTGCCTGGTAATGTTAGCCAAGATTATTTTCTTGGTTTCTGGGACAATGAACCCCCAACGGCAGACAGTTGCAGAGAATAAGAAAGAAAATCTAAAAGCAGGGCGGCACATTTCCCTACTGTCTAGAGGGGCCAGAATGCAGCAGAACCATCTCAACCCTGACCCTGGCTACAGCAGCCTGATGAACCAAGTTTCATGTTGAAGTGTCCCTCAGCGAGTCATTCTCTCCTAACATGATCCCTCATTGCATGCTGGATCTACTAGGGATCGTAGTGTCAGGAAAGAGCAGGAATAAACCGAAATGAAATGGACAGAAAAATGCTAAAAGGTATACAGCATGTCTCAGAAACTGCTAAATATGTTTATGCTGATGTGGATGGGTGGAAATTCCAGCAATTGTTTTCCGATAAACATCACATTGATTGAAGATGCAAAGACTCCTCCAGACCCTTTGTTTGTAAGTCACATCGTTCAGAAACATGGGAGACAATGATGTCTGTATGATCTGTGGCTGTGGCTTGGAGGCAGAGTGGGTCGTCCACTAATTGAAAGGTTGTTGGTTCGATCCCAGGCTCCACCCACCAAGTGTCGAAGTATCCTGAATTTTGCGTGTTTTGTGTGAATGTGTATGAATTAGTTTCTGTTCGATGGGCTTTGCCATCACTGAGTGAATGTGTGTGAATGTGGCACGTAGTGTAAAAGCGCTTTGAGTGGTGGGAAGACTAGAAAGGCGCCATGTAAAGTACAGTCCATTTACATTCTTCCAAAATAACATTCTCTATGCTAATGAACCCCCCCATTCACTGGAGGTTTCTGGACTCTAGCAGTGGTCAGAGGAATACTTTTGACTAAAATGTATTTTGTATGTATTGTATAGTTTTAGTAACATTTCAGTACTTTGATTATTGTTAATTTAGGTATAAAATCAAAACAGTGCTCATGTCGCTGCCCTTGTAAAAAAAAACATGGAACATGACTTGGCATTATTGTAGCAGATCTGGGTGGTCATTTAAAAGGAGATTGGTTCACTGAGATATTGTCTGGGTTTAACTTGAGATACAATATTAATATCCATCCATTCGCACATCTCTAAAAATGTCAGCAAGTTCTAGTTTTTTATCTCAGATATTTTGTTGCTATATTTTCTCATTTTCAGTCAGATTATAGATTAATTTAGTCCATAAATTATTGCCTTCAAAAAACTGCTTTCATTATACATTACATTATATATATGCATATACATGATAAGTAGAGACACAACATTTTTAAAATGCAAGATCTCAGTGTATCTAAATCAGGGGACGCTACTGTTTATAGTGATCAGGAGCATACAATCTGCATTATAATAGTTAATAATTAACATGTATACACATTTGTCCATCTTCACATAATTGTTTTGTTTTTATACACTGAAATTTCATTTAAGTTTTATTTTCATTAGATTGTATTGATTGATAAGTTGTATTGATTGATAAATTAGATTGGAATTTGCTTGGAATAATGAATAATAATAATAGTTTTACCTGACTTTTCTTTGTCTGTCTTATTTATTCTCCTGTGCAGCACTTTGGTCAACTTTGGTTGTTTTTAAAGTGCTTAACAAATAAAGTTGGATTGGATTGGATTGTTATCGGCATTATATATCAGCCAGCTCTCAATGTAAATATCAGCATCGACCATTGAAAAACCCCTATCAGTTGACTGCTAATTATATTTGATCCTACATTTCATTGAAGAAATAACCACTGGAGAGGAATGTCCTCCATATAAGACCTGACTCTGACTCTCTTTCTCTCTGTTTCCTGGTGTCTTAGCTGTGTCTTCACTGGCGCCAGTGTGAGTCACAGCAATAGTCAGCGTTGTGGCCTCAAAGCCTCCGCTAATTATGTCCCCCTCTCATAAAACAACTAAATAATGTGACAGCAGATGCACAAGGCAAGGGAGCCTCTCTGGTTTAAATAGCCGAGCTGAAAGGAGTACAAAATTACTCAAGGAAAAACGATGAAAGGGTCCAATGAGTCAACACCAAGCAAAGCGTCAGCACAATGTATCTGCACCAACAGACAGGAGTCCATTGTTAGTCACAGTCACTGTTTGGTACAGTACCACTAGATCAAACAAGAACAAAACATAGACAAATCTGCTGGATAAAAAGCTGGTGGCAGAGGATTGTCGGTGCAGATTTTGTTTGTGGACTAGCCCACTATCCTTCAAATTATGGTCATGTTGGATGATTTCGCACTTTAAGTCCAAAGCCATGGGTGGGATGGACATGTAGCAAGGCTGATTGTCCTGCTGTAACCCTGATCCGTCCCTAAACTTAACCAAATGTTTAAGTTGCCTAACCATCACCTTATATTTCCAGAAACTGTTTTGTTTGCATAACCTTAACCACTCTGTAGTTGCCATGAACACATATTGTTGTAATTTTATCCACTGTTACGAGAATGAAAATCAGCTCTTTATTAGTGTCAATTAGGCGGCTCTCTATAAATAAAGAACATAGTAATGACTAAAGGCAGACGTGTGGACTCGAGTCACTTGACTTGGACATTAACACCGATGACTTGAACCCTTTGACTTGGAAATACCAAGCCCAAAGATTAAAGTTGAGGTCAGGGTGATGGATATGCATTAAGCACATCTGACTTTCATGAGTAAGATCTGAATGTGCATCTTGACACTAAACCAAAATGCGGAAGCCAGCGCCTTTCAATACATCTATTCCCACTAGATGTAATTTCAAAAAATGTGTATTAAGGTGTATTAAAAAGTCCTAACTTCTCTCTGGAAAGGCACTGGTGGCTGTGGTTGTGTCTGGCCAGAAGTAGGCTCTACCCACTAATGTCAAGGTGTAATGACACATGTACAGCAAGGTGAGAAGAGACCACTAAAGGTCAACACAAACAAGAACTGAAATTTAGAGGAAATCAAAATGGAATCTGATTTGCTGATTTCCACGTTGCACATATAGGAATCAAAAAGCTGAATTACAGATACTAATTTTACTGTCTAACTCAGCTGTTTCCAAAGAGCACACATTTCTTTCTCACATCTGTAAAACTGTAGTTTTCTTTGACCAAAATTCCAAGAAAGCTACTAGCACACAGAGCCATCATTCATATCTTTATATACAAGGCCACAACTCTCTGCCATCCTTTGTTGTTTTTATTTGGCCTAGTGAAAGGATTGCTGTGTGGGGCCGCGAGGTCTGCAGTATGTAGCACTTTCACAGCCTCACTCTCTGATGTAGGTGCTGAAGGGATGCAAGAAGCTGGCCATGTCAGTGTGTTCTATGGGTCGGATCCCTGGAGGCTACATCACCAACCACGTGTACAGCTGGGTGGACCCTCAGGGCCGAAGTGTCTCCCCGCCGCCTGACAGCCACGAAGCCAACCAGAGGCAAGGGCACAGCTTGGACGAGAGGACGGTAAGAACAGTGTGTGTGGTGGTGGTACAAGATAAACAGTCTGGTTTATGAGTCAGTTTCAAAATGAATAAAACATCTGAAGATCAGACACATAAGTGCAGTGCAGACTTTGAAAGGGATTGCTTTTCTCTGAATGCAAAGATGCTGTTTCAGGTTTTTGAAATGGCCTCTGCCAGATTCAAAGCCGAGGTTGTTGTAATTGTCCTCCCGCTCAAGTCTAACAGCAGCCTGGATTATGACTCTTTGAGGACAGTCATCATGACCTTTGGTGTTGTTACATTTTAGAAGATAGTCCCCCCGCCCAGAAGCACATGACTCTAGCTGCTCCCTGAGAGATGATTTACTCCAAGTGAGTGGTCTGAAAAATACTCCTTTTACCATGCTTTCTGACTGTATAGATCACCATTCATCATTACACACTGATCTACTAATAATAATTATAATAATACAACTCCAGACAGGCACGCTTCCCACGGGTCCTGGAAAATCTGGAAATTTAGAGACTACTTTTCCACTCATTGAAACACCAGGAAATTATTTAAAATAACCAAATATCCTGGAAATAATCTATGTTGTCCTAGAAAATTTTAATTGTATTTTAGCCTGTGGTGTGGCCAAATGAATGTTACAATGAGAATGACTGTAGTCAGTAGACCTTTTTCACAGCAGCCATTTTGCCACAGGTGTTACCAATTACCAATTAAGGTTCCATTCCATTCACTAAATCAAACAGAGAGCCTTTATTAGTATAATTGGTAACACCTGCACTTACCCACTATTTCAAAATGGCTACTGTGAAAAGGTCTATTCGGAAAGCAGAAAAATCGGTTGTCGTGGGAACAGGGCTGTTTGGGTGGCTAGTAAAAGCTGGCACTGAGGACCAGGGTTAACATCCTAAGTGGTTAGGTTTAGGCAACAAAAGCACAGTGAATAAAGCCGCCCTGTCTTGTGCTTCTAGTCCGTGCTGTCTTTTGAACTAAGACAACTGTTTCCCAAACAAGTACTTTGTTGCTAACACATATGCTTTAGCTGCTGTGAGTGGATATTGCATTCACGAATGTTGCCAGTAAAATGAATGCCATTGTTTAGCCAATTTGTTAAGTATTAACATGTTGCAACATGGCAAATATGTTTATTAAAAACTTGTCCTTATTATGTAGATAAAAGATGCAATTCAGGCAGATTTATCCCACAACATATTTGCTTTTGCAAATTAGCAGTATATAAACATAATTTTTCGGAGACAGGGTTGCAGTCAGCCAGCTCATATTGAATCGATAATTAGGCAAAAGCAAAATATGTACAGAGTTGGTGTTTGGTGTCTATGCTCTAACCTCATCACTCCTCACAAAGAAGCACCAAGCTCAGCCCAGCAGGGAGTGGGGAGTGAGTGACAGTAATAATTCCAGAATGGGGAAAGTTGATTCAGAGCCAAAAGGTTCGGTGCTGGGGTGGTGGTGGTGGGTATGAACAACAGCAAAACAGTAAGCAGACACACCGCCATGATGGTGCGTTGCGTTGGGTATATGTTGCAGTGAGTGTAGTGCCATGTTAGTGCTAGCTGCTGACTTCAGTTGACTGCCTGAACTAGCTTGCAGACTTTCATTTATAAACCACAAAGTCAAAGACATCATAAGCTGACAGGGCCATCTTATGATAAAAAAAAGATAACAAAAAACTAGAGCTGTCCCCGATTAAAGATTTTCCTAGTCGACTAGTCAGAACAACCAGCAGGGGATTGAATACTTACCTCATTTATTTCAACACAAATCACAGAATCAATAACTTCATACAAAAACAAATAGTCTTATCGATACGATGGATGATGTGTAAGGTTAACAGTTGCTTACAAATGAAGTCAGTACAAACCTCCTCTGTTTCATGCCTCTCCGGACCTCTCTTTTTTCTTGCTTCTTACTCCCTCCCACTGGGGATGCATAGAGAGAAGAGAAGGAAACGAGAAGAAGGAATGGAGGAACGAGGAGATACGCTTTTAGAGAATTGAGACGTCCTTTCCTCCGAAACGGATCACAGCTGGATCAGCTGTCAGTCGGCTTTAACAGCTCTAGAGACTTTTGGTGGAGTTTGTGTCTGCACATGTGTACCCTGCTAATACAGACACACAGTTATCAGTGCCACAGCAGCAGCCTGTTACCTGTTTAACAAACACCTGCAAATGAATAACAGCCTGAATTATAGTGATGAGCAGATCACAGTTAAAACTACGGGCACTATGGTTGATTTGACAGCTGGGTTATAAACATTTGGATATTAGCAGGTGAACTGAGAGTGGGTAAAGGATGAAGTTTCTCCCCATCAAAAGAGACGCTGTGCACATTTACACATGAGGCACAGCAGCATACGTTCATTGATGATTTAAATCTCTGACACACCGACAGGATGGTCAGGATCTAATGTTAATTAATGTTCTGTGTTCTTCTACATCCAAATACACACACACACACCGTTTGGAGTAAAGCCTCCTCCTGAGAGAGAGTTTCTGTCCTGTCAACTTTATAACAACAATTCTAGTTTTTCTGCTTAAAAATATTTGCTACAGGGACAATACTGTGTGCATGGAAATGTTTAAAATAATGATGATGAAAACAGCATCTGTAATCATTAAAATAACTGCTCAACAGAAGAAGCACAGGAATTATTTCTACAGGCAGAATGAGTTTGTATTATTTGTTCATTATGTGCATGTGTATTTATTGATATTGTGATTGTAAATTCTTTATTGAATAACCCAGAATATGACTGTGGTGTCAACATTAGAAATTATTTATTAGGCTAAATGTTTTAGGGAAAATGTAAATGATGTAACTCATATCAAACCCAACCTCATGTGACTCACGGCCTGCAAGATGGCAACTTCTGGTGGTCAGTGAGTGATCGAGAAGCGAGGAGATATATAGTCAAATAACAAAACTTGCTGTGTTACAAGAGAAAAGGTCTGTGAAGCAACAAATCTTTTGTCAAAGTGACACTGTGCAGCTTGATGTTGTTTTTGGTTTTCTGCCACTACAACTCATGAAAATTGCGTCCAGACTCTTCACATTGACTACAATTAAGCCAACTATTAGGGGGCAGCATTACAAAACACACCTTGAGAAGGGTAGAGGACTATGACTTTTCAGAAATTTCTGTTCACTAGCTTTCTAACAGACAGATGAACCTTGAAGAATTCCATTCCAAAATGTATTTTCAAGTCTTTTTGTTTGGTAAGAGCCAGCACATTAACTACAGTCCTCCAAAATGTTGTTTAGAAATAAGTAAGAATAAAATCTAAAATGGATATGTAACATTTTGGAAATTAACTGTCTGTTTCATTTGGTGTAAAAACATGTGTAATTGTATTTTTAGCAGTATTTTAGAGTTTATTTTTCTACAGTCTGAATTTGGTTTTGAAGAGTTGAAGGACTCTTAAAGTTAGTTTATATAAGTAAGCTTCAGCATTGTTCATGCAGAGGTCCACCGGTGAACTGAATTGGGAAAACTGGATCCGTCCAACAGATTGATTTCACTCTTTTACTCTGGTCTTCATGGTAATGACATCAACAATTAGACACCATCCCTGAGTCTCCTCTTCTCCTGGGGTCAATCGTCCACTGAGGCACACCAGTGCTGCTCTAAGTGGTTGAATCAAGGCTCGAATTGCCTCCATTGCTAGACAGGTTTCTGGTGAAAGGGGAAGTGTGGGGACTGGAAATCGATGCTCCCACTACCACTGTAGGATGAATCCAAACATCCTACAGTAGCTCCATGGTTAAAACTGCTGCATGGGCAGCTCCATGCAGATATGCATGGAGAGATGCAGTATGGGTAATCCATCCAAAAGCTGCTGAGGACATGATTTACGTGTCCTGTATTAAATGTTGGTACAGAAAACTGCTTATATTTGCTTATATTCAGATGAGCTTGGATGACCTGGAGGAGAAATAATTAAAAGGTGAGGAGTGTCTGGACAGAGGCCTAGGAGGCTGTTACTACTACAGAGGCACAACGGCCTCCTTATACAGTAGGGAACAATGATTTGCTGGCTCCTTTTTTAGAGACCACATCAATCTTTGTCAGTTAAGGTGCCAGATATATGCCAGTTGATCTACAATATGCCAGCACTCTGTTTTATGAGTTTTTTATGAGTCCTGTCTATTTGAACTGTTTTCTTGTGTGAGAATTATAGAGCTCCCATCTGTGAAGCCAAGATTCACAACAAGACAACCGTTTTAGAAAGGAGCTGGGAGCAATTGCTGTGGTGTGAACTGGCCTATCACCTGTTAGGCAGCAGGGGTGATACAAAGCCTTAGAATTTACTCAAATAAAGAGTGAACCAAGGACATGTCGAAATTCTTGACCTGTAAAGTATCTCACTATATCCTCATTCATATTTTAAGATGTAACAAATTCTATCCAGCTACATGAAAATGCATGAAAAGGACAAGTTAGAATGTAAGTACAGACAGTTGCTATGGAGATGATACATTGCCTGGTCTAGTTGCATTGGTGTAAACGGGCAGGTTTCAGAATGTTGCAGACTGCCGCATTGTATCCTTATTATACATCCATGCTTTCAGCAGATGAATGTGAAAACATCCTTCTAGTGTCAGTCTGCACATACATCATTCACACATTTCACATATTTCATTTGAGTATCATTTGTGAAAATATGGAATTAAATAGCAGTGTGACAAATGACAAACGCAAAGAACATATTTTAGCTGCGCTGATCCATGATTTCTATATTGTTGCGTTTTTCCATATTGCTGTGTTTGTTTGACCCATCCATTCACACCAGCCTCCTCCATATGTGGATTTTCTCACTCTTTGTATCGCCTGACTTTAACGGCACATCAAAACATTATGTCAGACAGGCATACTTACAGTGCCATAGTTTGAAGTGTAGGGCCACTGACCACGCTGCTATATTTGGCAACTTGGGAGTGAGACTGGGCTGTTCTCAGCTTGTTGTGCTACTCTCGAGTGGCAGAAAATCTATTAAGGCAGCTTTGTTTTTTTGTTTTTTTTAACATTCGTTTTTGTGCTTTTATTGCCTCTCTAGCAGCTGTAGAGAGACAGGAAAGTGGTGAGAGAGAGAAGGGGATAACAGATTCTTTGAGGTCGTCATAAGTGTTTAAAACTTCATAAGTGAAGAAACAAATATTGCTGTAATTTTTCTAGTATTAACATCTGGAAAATCTGAATCTCTATTAGAGAAATCAGCCACGCTCTATGCATTTCAGTATATTATGGTGTACAGATATGGATTTACAAGCTACATGTTAGTAAGTGCTTGTTAACATTTAAAGTGCAAAAACTGGACTTGATAACTTGATTATATGTGAATTTTAATGTGAGAAAAGTATTATAAAATCTGTGTTCACATAATGGAATAGCATGCACTTTAAATCAAAGTCAACTGCTCTCTTGCCCTGAATGACACATTATTATAATTTACATGACATTTTCCAAAGAGAATTTTCCTAAAAACATTCAGAGAATAGTAATCAGTGGCACATGGTCAAACACAGTGTGAGTGTATGGAGCACATGGTGTTGGTAATTCTGAGGCCAAAGTAAGCTGTGCTTCTGTGATGTGGTTTGAGAACAGTGCTGGAAGAGGAGATGTGATGGCCCTGGCTTCAATCATCACCAGTCCAATCACTTCTTCTCCTTCCCATTAAAGCCAGTGCACCCTGTGCCGCAGCACACAAAATTTGGCGGTGGCAGAGAACACTCCAGAGCTCTGCTAGAAATGATTCTCCCAGGAGGAAACTAACATCCTTATGTATCATGAGGTGCAGAATCTCTGAATATGCAAATGTTTTTTATTTCCAAAGTTTTCCTGCTGGACACAAGATGTCTCCTACTTCACTGTAAAGTCCATTCTCAGTGGATGTGCACTGGTGGCTTCAAGTTTCTACATCACACTGTACAAGTTGACTGGACCCATTGGACTGACTTCCTAACTATGTTGTGATGTCGCAAATCATGCTGGTAGGCCCCGCCCCTTGAAATCAGATGTTCAATGAGCACAGAGAAACTTTCCACTTTCAGCAGATGAATGTGTAAACATCCTTCTAGAGTCAAACTCTGCACGGACAGAATTCAAACAGCACACTGTAGGGACAAGAAGAAACACTTTCTGACTGGAGGGGGCTTTGACTTGACTTCCTGCCTAGAATATGGTACTATATACTACCACATATCCACACTTTAAACGATCTGCTTCACCTTAACATGATAAGGGTTTGGCTCGTGTATTTGTAGCAATGAAATATTTTAATATGGAGGTGAGCAAATATACAGGTTTGGATGCTGTACAGCTGCTCAAAGCCTGCAGCATGAACGACATCGTTCACTGGAGTACTGTCAAGTAGCTCATATCCATTTCCTGCTACTGATAAGTATGTTATCATATAGTAACTCCTATATTTACAGAAGGAAAATTATTTTCTGCACGCACTGATAAGCTGTTGCAGTTGCAGACACTGCAAGATGACTACATTTTCAGTCTTTTATCAGAAAGACAATTATTATCTTCTATAACTAAATTTATGTGTTAATGATATTTACCAGGAAAAATATGTTTTTGGTACATATGGATTAGCAGCTACAGTTATATTGGAATACCTTACAGGGAGGGATCTATATCAAAGTGAAGTGACCAACATCTATCTATAAAAGAGCTTTGAAAGATGTTTTGACATGCATACTTTGCTTGGTAAAACCAATAAACAGCAGTGACTGTGGTATTTTGACATGAAAATGCAAAACACAGTAATAGTGACTCCAAACTGCATTGATTATCACTGACACACCCTGCTGCATCTTTCCTCCACACTAAGACACCAAAATCTAACCCCTGAGAGTGCCTAACAGCATGCTTCATGTTGTTGCCTCATTTTTACACTGAATGTCATGTTTCCCCTGTAGGTAAACCTGAATATGGATGATGGACGCTCTCTGGGCCTAATGATCAGGGGTGGTGCTGAGTATGGATTAGGTATTTACATCACTGGAGTGGACCCCGGATCTGCTGCAGATGCTGGTGCACTGAAGGTAACCAAGATCTTTAAGAGGGTTCTCAAAGATATCCAAATTCATTACCTGAAGTTATCTATAAAAATTAAATGATTCTAGGTTTCATTTATGCCATGCCTCCACCACCATGTTTAGCCAGTACATTCATACATCAGTTCAAATCTTCCTATAGAGATATCGGCTGTACAGATGTCTGCCTTCTCGCCAATTGAATGGAATCAGATGGCACTCAACAACATTGTCTCTTCCCAGAAATCCCAATGTTGTTTGCGAATTGCATTCTTTTGTTTATAGGAAATCCACTATCATCTATCTGCTCTCATGCATTAGCTGAGCAACTATGGAGGTGAAATTCAAATGCTCAAAGAAAAGGCTTTAGACACTAATAACTTCTCGCAATTATACACAGCCATTCACGATTAACTCAAAATTCTGAAAACATTCAAACTACATCAGTTGATTCTAAGCAATCTATTTCTAAGGGTATTGTGGAAAACAAATTATATATGATCAAAGCTCATGTGTAAATAGCCCATAAAAGGATTACAACAAACTGGCTTAAGCCTCACCCACCTACCTCTTGCCAGTGGACCCAAAGACAAAAAAGAAAAAGAAAGGGTGAACTGTAGGGAAAAACCTTGAGACTGCAACTCTGAAGGGACATTTATTTAGAAAGATGGTCTTCTACTTTACTGTACCAGCAGCAATGTAAAGTAAATTTGATATACGGATGCCCCATAACACTAACAAACTCTGGGATGGTCATTTCAGTCTTAGTCATGGATGAAATTAGTTGTTGACGTGAAGATTTCCGGCACCATGCCAGCTGTCAACGCTAACATCTGCTACCTGATTCTGATGAACCTGTTAGCATTCCTGCCACCTGCTCCCTATTACACTGCTAAACCTGTTGGTGCTGCTAACATCTGCTACCTGCCTTTCAGCCTCAGTCAGGCGGCTGACTTTACTGCAATGACAGGTCGGCAGAAATGCAAAATCTCTGCTGTGTGCTTTCAGGTCGGCTTTCTGCCTCAACAAGCAGGCCACTCTAGCTCTGTGCTATTTTTCAACCTGCCTGAGGCAAGAAAAACAGACGCCAGTGTCTTCCTACCTGTAAACAATATGGCTGAAACCTCAATATGGCTTTCATGAAAATATCACACGCTGTCCTACTTGGGGATAAAAATAAAGCATCAAATTGTATTTATTTATTTATTATGGTTTGATTTCTTACTAGTCCAAACCAATTGGGACACCTTGGAAAAAAAATTTACACATAGAGAAAGGAGATTAAAAAAGCAAGAGCTTGAAAGGCATTCTAAAAATTCAAATGTTGTCCCTTGAAAGATGCAGTGTGACATTTCTCAGTTCCTTTGACAGAGAGAGATGAAGAGGTGCTTTTTTCTTATCATGCAGGAGTGGCTGGTCATGCTGCAGAACTGGAGCTTTTGACATGCTATGACAGAAAATGTGAAAACAAGAAGAAAGGAGAGAGCACAGAGGGTAAAAGAGAGGAGACGCATAAAAAAATACAGCGGCTGTTTTCTCCTCACCAAGTATCACCTTGTGTCTCCATTCTCTGCTAGTCTGCAGCCATTCATTGTTTGTGGACAAGAGCTGCTGTCCATCTTTACAGTGTGTGTGTGTGTGTGTGTGTGTGTGTGTGGTGGTCTGGGTGCCTCAGATTGAGTGTTCCTGCCATTAGAGTGGGAGCAGCAGGCGGAAAAAGAGGCTGTGTATCATTTCCTGCAAAACCATCCCTCTTCCCCTGTTTACGTCCACCCCTCCCACCCTCCTTGTCCTCCAGTGTTGTGACAGTTAATAAGAGGTAATAATAAGGGTTGGCTAGACACTTCAGCAGGTGATCATCACAAGGAAAATGTGTGGAGATTTCCATTCAAATACATCAGTTTGATACCACTTAGCCTACAATTAAGAGTTTATTGTTTATTTAAGGGTCCCCATTTAAAGCACACAGATGTGCCTCTTGTCTTTTTGGGGCCCTGAACATCAAAAATACAGTACATACAATAAGACAAAAACTTAAAATATGAGAGTACTAGGCAAATAAACTGATGTGTGAACATAAGAATAAAAGTGATAACAGATAACAATGCAACAATGCAAAAGGGAAAAACAGAAACCTAACAATCAGAGCAGTATACATGTAGGGCTATGTTCCTATCCTGTTATATAGCAAGATATTTCTTTATATGCTTTCT